AAGATCGTCCGTAGTTTACCTCATGGTGCATATGTGCGGCGCATTAAATTTTATGGACTTCACCCAAGTCGAATGGTTGGTTACTTACTATGGAACGTGCGGAATGATGTAGAAAACATGGACGAAATTGGCGTTGGGTTATATATCTTGCAATTTGGTCCAAGTTGGGAGTAATTATCGCGAGCCTCGTCCTCAAAACAAAAAGATCACCCGGAACCTCATGGCTTTTGATGGCTAACACGGGCCGAGCGCAACAAAATGTGAGCGCATGCAAATCCCCCTTAATTCGCAATTTTCTCATTTAGGGATTGCGGCAGTACCATTGTCTGTTTTATGAGAAGCTTATCGCCTTTCGCCCTTATGGATTCCAGGAACGTATTTGTGATAAAAAGGTTTTTTGAGGATCAATGGCTCTTTCGGTAAGTAAAAGTATGGCCGACTAAAAGAAGCCTTTTTTGGGGAGCAATTCCAAAATACTTTTCAAGTTTTTTTTATCCCGATATAACAACCGCGTTGGCTTTGTACTGTGCAGAAGCGAACGAAAATCATTTCAAACAATGGCCCTGCGGAAAAACCCGTTCAAACCAGTCTACGATCTTGAGGGAAAATAGGGTGCATGGCGCATCCTGAACGAACTGATACATGTTGAACAATTAGTATTGTACTCACAAATATCTGTCGTAGAAGAGGATAGGATGTGCGGAGCGAGAAGTTCGCTCGAATGCTAGCTCTGGATATCCTCTTTCGAATCTCTCCAACGGAAGATCTTGGAGAACAAAGCTGAGAGTGAGGCAGACGACAGCGCACCACAAAATTAGAGAACGAACGAAGCTCATCTGAAATTTTAAGTAATAGTTAATCGTTTCAACGAATTCGGCGCATCGTTAAGCATAATAGTTCTCGACAATCCGCATTAATTGGCAATTTCTTAAAGGAATCTTCCACGGAAAAAGCTCCGCCCTCATTACCACAGAAAACGATACCTTAAAGGAATCTTCCACGGAAAGAGTGATCATTTTGTTTGTATTATCGAAACTAACGCTTAT